GGGCTGGAGGAGGGGCAGGAGCCGTTTCCCGCAGGCAGGGTGGATGCTGGAGGCTGGCAGGGGCCAGGCAGGGCCTGGGGGGCCGTCGCCTTGGCACATCTCTCCGCAGCGGGATGGGCACGCTCAGCACCCAGGGTTGGCCAAGCCTTGAGCGAGGACGGGCTTTGATGGATGTGATGTGACAGGCAGAGCAGATCTCAGATGGCTGGAACGGCTCCTGAGCGGCATCAATCCAGCCGTAATGAAAAGTCGTTATGGATTGAAATGCCACCGATGGGGAAGCGCCTCCCTCTCGTTGATAGGAAGCCACCGATGCGGTGCCACGTGCCGGGGCGAGGAAGGTGCCGTGGAGGAAGGCTTGGCCACGGCACGGACCGCTTTGCCGTGGGGACGGAGTGGGTGGCCTTTGTGCAGGCTGTGGTGGCCCTCCAAGGTTGGACTTGAGGATGAGCGCCAGCCTGAAGGATGCAGATGTGGGTCCCTGCAGGTCACCCGCTCCAGCGGCGCGGGTCTCCCTTCCTTGGAGCTCGAATGGAGGAAGCATCCCTGCCAAAGGCTTCTCCCGCGGGACGGCGGGGTCGGAGACCCGGCCCAGCCCTAGGAGGGCTTTAGCAGGATTTGCCATTGTGTGTCACCAAGGAGGGTCAGAGGCACCTTACCTGTGTGTAACGCACGGGGTACCCGAGTGCGTATGGATGCCATACCCCAGCCACCGTGCTGGGGAGCCACCAGCACCCCAGCCGCGGCACCCAGGGCTGGCAGCCGAGCTGCCCTGCCTGCACAGGCAGGGCGAGGAGCTGGCAGGGACCCGGGGTGGGCTGGAGCTCCCGATGCCCCAGGGATGCGGCAGGATCGGAGCTGGGATGCAGCTGATAACGCCGTGGTCCGGCTTTTGTGCTGGATGCACAGCGGGACAGAGGGTGCCAGCACCCACCCCGCACAGGCACCTACTTGTAGGTGCACGAGCTCAAGGTGGCGCGTGTCTGTGCGTGGGGGTATCTTTGCCCTGTACCTTTGCTTGCTCGCAGGTGCAGCCCGTGGCCTGTGAGAACAGCGAGGACAGGAGCATCACCCGCGTGGACGAGGGGCTGGAGGACTTCTTTGCCAAGAGGCTCATCCCAGAGGAGCTGCCGTAAGCCCTGGGGGG